CAAATATTTGCTTAAATATGACAATTTAGTCTGAAATGAATGTCTGCATTAGCGTTGAGTGCGAAGACTAGTCGTTGAAGTGATTTCTTTGTTACCGAAACCGGAAGCACCCTTTCCTTTGCCGTGAACTGAGCGCATACTCGTTGACGAACCCATGTCCTTATCACCGACAGACGACCCTACCTTTCCTTTGCCGTGAACTGAGCGCATACTTATCGCCGAAGGACTTCCGGCCAAATCTTTGTCCCCTTTATTCCTATCATTCGTGGATCGCATGGATTCTGTCGAAAAGGACGACCCTTTGCTTGCGGCCAACCGAATGCCTGACCGATTGACATCCAGTCCCTGATCGGCGCCCAACTGTCCCGTAGTGTTTAAGTTATCGCCCTTTNTCGCCGAAGGACTTCCGGCCAAATCTTTGTCCCCTTTATTCCTATCATTCGTGGATCGCATGGATTCTGTCGAAAAGGACGACCCTTTGCTTGCGGCCAACCGAATGCCTGACCGATTGACATCCAGTCCCTGATCGGCGCCCAACTGTCCCGTAGTGTTTAAGTTATCGCCCTTTCGTTTGTTTCGCGAATACACGACAGCGAAGACAACGCAGATAATGGCCATCAAAATGATTGCCATTAATAGTAAAATAATCCAAAACCAAGAGTTATCTCCGCCATCGATGGATGTGTGAGGAGTGGTATTCAACGGACCACTAGTTGTCGTTTGGGGAGCTCCTGGCACTGGCGATGGACTTGAACTCGAACTCAAATCAGGGGTCGTCTCAGCGGGTGATCCAGTGGTCGTCTCTGAAGGTAAACCAGTGGTGGTTTCTGTGCTAACGTCTGAAGTCGTAATCACTTGACTTGTTGTGGTCTCAACCGGTGATGTGATGGGAGGGCTCACCAGAGATCCTTCGGGCTGAGAAAAGTTGTCGTAACAGTTGAGAAACGTTCGGAGGTCGACGTCGACTTCACTGATTTCAAACCGTAAGACACCGTCCGAGCCTTCGGTGATGGAGATGCTGTGACCGACTCGCGGCATATACTGGGGGTCGTTGTCCAACGTATACACATTGGAGCCAATATTGAATAAAGAGTTCATCACACGACTCCTCCTTCCCAGAAGCCGACCCTCTGTCCAGTCGGTGGTCAGCGCTCCAGACGACGGGTCGACCTTCCGGTACAAGAAGTGATGAGTTGATCCTCTCGGGTTCTGACCCATCGTCGTATTCGCCAACCAATGATCCAAATGAACGATACTTTTCGACGGTATGAACGAAAAGCCGTGAATATTGGAGCCGTTGTTGTTGATGGTGACGATGTCCTCCATGAAGAAGGTGTTCACAAACGCCGGTTCGTCGATCGAGAAGATGCCGGACCCGCCCCGAAGTCGCCAATCGGCCGGCAATTGGTTCGTGTCTTGGATTCTGTCAAACTGACGCTCATTTGTCATACGAAACGTCTCGTAACCCCAGTAACTCCTCTCATCTGGTCTCCCGATGGCTATCATCAGGTTCTGGACCTCTGGTGGACAAGCAGTGCATGTGATGGTCGACACGAAGGCTATTATTGTGAAGCTCGTGCCGCGGAACAGATTGGCGATGGACTCGACATCCGGGAGAATCTGATTCTGGTTGATGTCGTGGATGTAGTACCGATTGGGAGGTCTACTGAATCTTAAGTACACCAGACTTCCGACTGTAAACACCGATTGGATCCGATTGGTATCGAAATCGTCTCCGTTTGCCGTACAGAAGGGCACAGTACCTAAGCATTCAATAGACATCTGAAGAGATAATAGGATAACTGTTGATATGATTAACATTTTGTGATCACAATAGTGGTTAAAACACAAGAGTTTCCGTTAAATATCTGTTAAGAAATTCGTTAATCAGTTGTGAATTCAAACTATAGTTGACTTTAACGCTCAAAACAATTGCAATTTACAAATATTTTTCATTCAATTCTCATTTCACTTCAAAAGTTTTTGTGAATACAGTGTGAGTTAATTTGCAATTTTACTCATTGAACGAGATTAACACTATTTGAAAAATTTATTGATATTTCAAAAACAGATGTAAATCACAGTTGGATTGAATTATTTGAATTAATTCCTCTCATTCGGCTGTTTTTATGATAATGTTGTGATTTTGGGATCATTTGAACCCAAGAATTGTCTCAATTTTTCTGATTTAATAACTTCAGTATATTTAATAAAATGAGTAAAAAATCCGAAAAATCCGAAAAATCCGAAAAGGAATTACAGACCGAACGGCTCTTTAGCTATGCATCCGATGGTGATCTCAAGAATCTTAAGAGTCTTATAGAAGTAAGAATAAGAATAAAGTGAAAGGTATCCTATGTTTTGAATACACTTACTGTACTGTACTTTGATTTCTTGATAACAAAGGGCAACCAAATGGACGTGAATTCAACGAAATACAACTTAACGGCTCTCAGTGTCTGTTCGGCAAAGAGTGGAGACATTGAAAGTGTCAAATATTTAATAGCAAAAGGGGCTGAGATCCGAGACTCGCACCTACACGCCATCAGAGCTGGAAATGTCGATTGCGTCGACTTATTGCTCTCCAAACTGTCCAAAGCTCAAGAAGCCCTTCCCATCAAGAATTCAACCGTTTTTGCTCCATATATGACACCACTGATGTTGGCCGCCATCTGTGGCCATCGGATTCTCGTGGAACTGCTTATGTTTAGGGGACACACCATTCCTCTGCCACATATGGCTGACTGCGAGTGCGATGACTGCAACGTCTCGGCCACCAAAGTGTCGACTCCATCGCAGAGGAATCTGGATATCTATCGGGCGTTCTGTAATCCGGCTTACATTGGACTCAACACATCGGATCCGATCAACAGTGTCTTAGAACTCGAGAGCGAATGTCGTTCAGTCATCAAAAGCAGTAACTTTTACTCTCATCACTACAACGACATCTTCAGACAAATGGAGAGTTATGTCAAAGATGTGATTGACGTGACACGAGATACTCAAGAAGTGAAGGTTCTGGTCGAGCAGAAGGGAGTACAGCCGCGACGCAACCCTTACGTCAGATATGTTGTGCTTCAGAAGGCCGTCGATAATAATTGGGTCGACTTTATGGCCGCCAAACCCATTGAAAGCCTAAGAAGTCATCTATGGTTAGGACACAATACGTTATGGTTTGATTCGGGAGCCCATGGAGTCTCCAAGAAGTTCTTCATAAGTTTGTTCCTTATTTTATGGCAACTGGTGGCAAGCATTGGACTTCTGGTGGGATATCGCAAACACATCTCAGCTCAGAGCCGATACTTGGGTCGCCTGTTCAACGAATCCCTATTCATCGCACTTCTCGTCTATTTCTTGAATGAGAGAAACACCACAAAAGAGAAGAACTCAATGCAATTGACGGTCAAAATCTTGATAGTCATCTGGACTTTTGGTAATGTCATTAACATTGTCAAGAAGTGTGGTATCTTTGGATTCAAGAAGTTATTCGCATTCTATGGCCATGTCTTTGAGCTAATCGTCACAAGTCTATTGTTTGTCATCATATTCTTCATGTTCTTGTGCAACGAGAAGTCATCAAAGAAAGTAAGAGTAGACAGTTCAGAGTCTTCAGCCTTTGATATCACAAACTTTGGCAGACATAACATCGAGATCTCAGTGTGCACTGAAATCACACATACTTTGCTACGATTCTTGATTATAATGGCATACATTAGACTCGTAGTGGTCTCCTCTTTGAGAGCCTATAAAGGCTTAGAAGAAGACAAAGTGATTCGCATTTGTTTGCTATCATTTTGTATGATTAGTGTAATTTATCCCCTTTTCAACCACACTATTGTCAACAGATCACCGAATAGTTTGAGGTAAACCTACAGATTTATGACAGATAATCAATAAACTATAACACATATACTAATTGCTTTCATAGCATTTTTGAGCTAACGTTTGGCATAAGTATGTTCGGCAACATTGATCCCACATTTATTTTCGTTGCCATTAATTTTCTCATTGGTTTGATATTTGAAATATTAAAGGGCCCGGAGGTAATCACCGATTCAGATCATTAGTAATTATGAAATTGTAATTTTAAACCCTAATCTAGAAAATATCGGACAAATTCTGGTGCTATCACTGGACAGCGCGCCTGATATACGAAATACACGGCGCCTGTGAACTGGCCGTTCCCTTCAATATACTGGAGTTGAATAGAGTTGTGGCTATTTTACTCAAAAGAGTCGGATTTAGGGGCAGAATCAGCGAAAGGCAAGTCCAACAATACAATCAAATCAAAAGTCTGGTCTATTCTCGATATGATTGCATCAAATATCTGAACTCCAAGTGCTATTCCAGACATCCCATCGATTCCAAGACATCTGATGACACCAAGAAAAGTTCGTCCGATACATCCATTTAGTCTTTTCAACTTATTTCTAGTGGTTAACCACACTCTGACTCTTAATCTCAAATAGTCTTCTAATTTTAATATAATTTAAATTGCATTTAATATTCTGAAAATAAGTCAAAAATATTTTACAAATATTACAAAAACACATAAATTTCTCATTAAATATTCAATGAATTTCTCAAATAACTGCTAATCCTATTGAATGGACTGCTGATCGATGGTCTTTTGCATCCATTCGGGAACAGTTTGTCCCACTTTTTCGATAATATTGTTCACTTGAAAGCATAAGCTCTCGATTTGTTTATCGAAATTCGGTAAAACATTTCGCGTCTCGAAGTGAACGATACCCGCGATCTGATCGATGAAACCATTCATCCGGCTCTCAGTTATCATCTGAGAGGCAATCTTCTCGGCTTTGGTCGACTCGATCTCGAGAAGTGCTCCCAATTCGACAAAAGTTATGTTATTGTAGAGCTTAGAGGCGGACAACAGGTTGTGCTCAATGACCGCTCGGTCCAGAATTGATGAGCCGACAGACGTCTGCGCCTTTTGGTGGGGCTGTAGGAGCGCCGAGAAGTCGTCCAACTCTGACCTCTTGATGATTCGGTCCAAATACATCTTCTCGAGTATATTATAGGCCGGCAACTGTTGACACCTCTCGTCCTTGAAGAGCGTGGCCAACATCCGAGACCTCTGTTGACCTGCGAAACACAGCCACACATTAAAACCTACACAACGACAACTACCGGTGCGCTGCTGTCGTACCGGCCGACGCCAATATGGTGCAGATGAGGGCGTTCTTGAGGGCAGTCATGCGCTCGTCCTCGTGAATGATGGTCCGATAGGACAGTTCATTATACCTCTGCGCGGCTTCGATGAACTTGCGCCGGTAGTCGAGGACCCGGGCGTAGCACACCTTATGCATGACCTGCAACTGCTCGTTAGTGGTCTCCGCCTGCAGGAGCGACGCCCGGTTGATGAAGGCCTCGGCCTGCACCGGGTCGTCGTCCTCCAGGTATAGGCGCGCGATCTTCAGGTACGTCTCCAGCTTGTAGTCCACGGAGTACTGCTTCTGTCCCGTCTCCAGAGGAATGCCCACTAAGACGAGCGCCGCCTCCTTCCAGTTGTGCTCCTTCTCGTAGATGAGCGCCAAGTGCTGCCGGATGGCCGACACCTGCTCCTCGAACGACACGACCCTCGGGTACACCCTCTCCAGCGTGTAGTGCGAGATGCTCTTCGACACCGTCGCCGGCAGTGATGGCAAGTGTTGAGACACTTCTGTCAACAGTTGGCGAGAGATGACGAGCGATACGTTTTCGTTGACAACTGTTTGGCGGAAATGTTTGTTAAAGACATGAGTCATGCATTGAAACGATGGACGCGTTACTCGTCTCGATGAAAGCCTTGAGCCCTTCCTCCACCTCTTCGGGCGACGACTTGAGGATATTCTCCAGAAATGAACGATACCTGCGATGAGAGAGAGAGAGAGAGAGAGATCCGATTGTGAGACCAAGTGGTCGACCGCATGGGTGTGTGTGTGTGTACTGACCGGTCGGTCTGCTCTTTGGGTGTCCCACCCGTCTGCAGGATCTGCTGAAGAGCTGCTCTATGGCTCTGATGAGTCATTACGTCGAGTGAAACGACAATTAATTGAATAACGAAATCAAAACTCAATATTCAATTGAAATCCGATTGAAAATGCAGACAAAAAAGTTGAAATAACTTAAACCGCAAACTTTGTTGACTGCAAAGCGCTAACCGTATGCAAAGTATCTACAACTGGCGCCACACAACTGTACGCCCAATGAAGGCGCGCCTGCAATTGGCTGCCGGGCTCTCGCATTGAATTGTATGGCTGTGTGTGAGTAGTGTTTGTGTGAGTGTTGTGTTGTAATAGTGTTTGCGAAGTGAGTGTAGAGTTGGAGTATTGGCCGCTATTTTCAATTGTAAATCACAACACATTCAACGCTACACTCAATACATGTGTTGACAATCGCTTCGCAAACAAACCGACGATGGCTTTGATGAACAGCAGATCAGGTAATCATATGCTTATCACTACTTCGCCCACCCATTGCCGCACCCGATGGTCGGCCACCACGAGGGGGCCGCCTATGGCCGCAAACGCCGACAAACTAACGCCTGCTAATCGCGTTCATTGAGAGGCGTTGCCATGGATTGTGTGTCTCATGAGTGGTGTTTGCGTTGATTTTCATGTGGTGTGCAGTGCTGTGGTCTATGTCTGTGTGTGTGTCCGCGTGCGGGATGTGGTGGCCATCGGTGGTGGCGAACGGCATCCAAATGAATGGATTCAATGAAATATGTTTTGAAAATTTCCGCGACAAAGATGGCAACGATTGACGCTATAGTTTGCCTCAGAGTACAAACGCTATGCAACTCCTGTTCCCCCTCTCCATAGCCATAGCGCGCGCGACGTCCACAAGAAATGCGTGCGATTAGTATCCAAGGACTGACTGGTTGTCAGCGTTTGTCTCGGGATATCTCTGTCTGCAAACTGTATCTCCAATTCAAACATCAATTATGTATTCATTGAGTTAATTGTTATGCAATTTGTGTTTAGCGTTCAATTCAATTGCAATGAATGAGTGTTTAGTTAGCGTTGAATACCACATGAGTGTGAATACATGTCGAAAATTGTGTGCCTTTTTGAATGCACCGAAAATTGTTTTTTGTTGGCATTTGTTTGGTGTTTGAGAAACACTTTTTTCGTATGATATTTGTGTCGCGAAAAGTGTTTTGAATTGTAATTTTAATTTTCAAGTTAACCATGAGTTTGATGTGTTTTTTCTCATTAGCTATTTATCCGTTTAGTTATCTCGTGTATAGATGTATGCATTGATTGACTAATAAATCGCTTTGAGATATGCTTTGAAATGAGAAAATATTTGTTAATGTTTTGTATATTTTTTTTAATTTGATGGCAAACTATTGACTAGTGTTTTGAAAATAAAACCCGATTTTTTGCAAATATTTAATTTCGTCAATGTTTTCAGTAACCATTTGTTAGACTACTTGGTGTGTATTAAACATGAAATTTAGTTTATATTCATGACTTGTATCTAAATTTCACGTTTAATACGAGAGAAACTGATAACAAATTTATGTCTCAATCAAATTGTTTGTATAATTTTTGAGGGAAGGGTTTGTAGTGGAAATAGTTTTTAAAATTTATTTATTTATTAAGAGATTAAAAGGAAATGTCATCTAGATTAACATGTATGCAATATATACAGTACTCACTACTCTATCAGACTTTATGCGATAATAAAGTTTAGATTATTTTAAAAACCAATCGATATAATTGTGACAAATTTGAAAACAATTAGCTATGAGTCGAGCTTTTGATGCAATGGTTTTGATTACAAATTGTCAATTGTTTTATGTTTTCAATGGGAAGTCATTGAATTGAGTGGAAAAATTGAATGAATGTGTGTATTATATACAGTATATTAATAATGAACACATGATTTGCGGTTTTGAATGAACTGTCTCAACCTTCTCGGATGAAATGCTGAGAGTTTGTGTATTAATGCATTTGTTGTGGACTTTCTGATAATTGTGGAGAAGTTGTATGAAATGAATAAAAATATTTTGATTTACTCGAAAAGTGAGTCTTGTATACAAATACATGCCACCAATAGATTAGATTAGAAATTATCGATTCAATTGATGTCTAAAGTGATTGTATTTTTAGGTCAAAACTCTTCGTCTACTGATAATGACTTAGCGTTTACTTCGCAAGACTTGAACGATTTGGCCATAAGAATAGGCGCCGATTTAGGTCTTCCCGACATTAATGACATCCATGTGGTGGACGAGTCCGTCAATCACGACATTCTGGCGAATGTGGATCAGAGTCAAGAGCACATGAACCGCGAGGGAGACATAGATATGGACACCATTGTGATCGAGACGATCAATGAGGTGGACATGAGTGACGCCATTGTCTTCGGCAATGTGGGCAACGATGTGACCATCAGTTCCAGCAATCCGTTCGACAGACAAAGTATTGGTTCATTTGTTTAATACTTTTGTTTTTTATGGCAATATTTAAGTGATTTCTACGGTATATGATTGACTGAAAGGGTTGTCACTAAAACCGAAATGCACTCTATTTGTAGTCCCGACGCTAAGTGGTCCGTCGGGAGCCCCCAAATTTTTGTTTTTTATGGCAATATTTAAGTGATTTCTACGGTATATGATTGACTGAAAGGGTTGTCACTAAAACCGAAATGCACTCTATTTGTAGTCCCGACGCTAAGTGGTCCGTCGGGAGCCCCCAAAGCGGGGGGCATAGGCCGGCGCCCCCGCACTGGAGGGCCCGCCAAGATTCGCGCACCTCATCCACAGACACAACTAATCCAATCGATTTCCACATCACAGCCCTCACAACAGATCCGATTCGCCAACACATTCACAACACAGCCGCAGATCATACCGATTAACGCGTTAAGTTTGGGACAACTGAACGCCTCGCAGGTGATGACCACATCAGTGGCTCAGCCGACCAAAGCTCAGACGACCACCAAAACCAAGATTATCAAAAAGGCGCCGATAGTGTCGACAGACATTCAAAGTAATCAAACGCCGGACACGTCTACTCTGAAAGTGATTTACACATCACAGGGACAGCAGATTGTGTTCTCGCCCTCAAAGCAGAGCACTTCGTTGAACTCCAACACAACGGTCGTCTCGTTGGGCGCCAACACCGGTGTCGCGCCGCCCGGCAAAGTGCTGCTCAGACCCGTGGGACAGGCGTTCTCGAAGGGTATGGCCACTATGAATGCGGGTCAACAGCAACCACAACAAGTCATTATATTGTCGCCACTGAAGGCCACGGGTGGGGTTGGCGTGTCGTCCATAGCGGCAGCCAATAAAATACTACCCCTTAAGCCTCAGCCCATAATCGCCGCCAAATCGCCGCAACGAGTGCTGGCGCCGGCACCCACTCAGCAAAAGATAGCCATCAGTAAGGCGTCGACTGACATAAAGCCGGTGCAACTGATCCGAGTGGTGCCCATATCGTCAGCGCAGACCTCGCAACAGATGTCATCCATTTCATCGAATAAATTCGTTCCGTTGAGACCAATCGCCCCCAACACCAGTGTCCGAGCGATCGCTCCCATCCCTCAGTCTACACACAGATTCCTGGTCCCGACCTCTACTGTCAAAGCCGGTGTTCCCTCTCTCACGACAGTGACGGCCACATCGACTGTCTCGCAGACCACGTTTCTCACCACATCCGGCGCATCCAATTCCGGACAACTCTTTATGTTACAGAACCCAATGATGAAGATAACGCCCACCACAACGTCCGTCTCGTCGCCCACAGCAAAGACCGTCTCATTCGCCACCGCAACCGCTCAGAGGACTAACTTCGTGCCGATCGCACCCTCGCCACTGACTGCCAGCTCCTCTGTCAACACCTTAAGCGCCGCTCAAATCAGTTCACTAAAGATACCGAACGGGTAATTGTCTTATGATTTGCGTGTAAATTGATTGGAAAAATAATTGCATTTTATTTTGTCGTTCGTTTGCCACAGAAGTGCAAAACCAGTGGAAGACCCGAATCAGCGAAAGCCATGCAATTGTACTAAATCTCAATGTCTGAAACTGTACTGCGATTGCTTCGCGAACGGCGAGTTCTGCAGTTCATGCAATTGCATCAGTTGTCACAACAGCTTAGACCACGAGGAGGACCGCCAGAAAGCCATCCGTCAGTGTCTCGAACGAAATCCGCACGCATTTCACCCGAAGATCGGCAAAGGCAGGGCCGGCGACACAGAGCGCCGACACACCAAAGGCTGCAATTGTCGGCGAAGCGGTTGTCTCAAGAACTATTCCGTCAGTGTCTCGAACGAAATCCGCACGCATTTCACCCGAAGATCGGCAAAGGCAGGGCCGGCGACACAGAGCGCCGACACACCAAAGGCTGCAATTGTCGGCGAAGCGGTTGTCTCAAGAACTATTGCGAGTGCTATGAGGCGAAGATCCTGTGCTCGAGTCTCTGCAAGTGCTGCGGCTGTAAGAACTTTGAGGAGAGCTTTGAGCGCAAGACTCTCATGCATTTGGCCGATGCGGCCGAAGTGCGATCCGCTCAGCAGAACGTGGCCACGAAGAACAGGCTCTGGAGCTCCGACTTCAAGCCCAAGCTTCCCATTCGTGTGGACGGCGATCGGTATGAGTAGACGTCTGGTTGTTGTTGAGATGTGTTTTGCTGATTGTGTGCTGATTTGCAGACTCCCGTGTAGTTTCATAACGCCTGAAGTGATTGAGGCCACGTGTCAGTGCCTATTGGCTCAGGCGGAACAGGGAGAGCGGGTTGGCATCGATTTGAAGCAAATCGAGAAACTGGT